ATTCTATGATTCTAACCTGTTAGAATTCAGCAAAGCCTCATTAAGGACATTAAACTAGCAATATTTAATTAAAACTGTTCCTAAAATTATTGTCTTCTGTTGCAAAGCACTGCCAGCCATAGATAAAAGTCATTAACCTTTCTCTCTGAAACATGCAAGCAGCTCTGGAATCCCCAAGTTCTCCGTATCAAACCCATGCCTTCCAAAGGTGCCAAACTGAAAGAAGTTACAGAATCTTCCTTTTAAGGAAGTAATATTCTTCCAATAATAAAGTCACACTAAGTGCTCAGTCATAAGTACATTAAAACTCTTATCAAAGTGGCTTTAAACTCATAGAAAAGATTTAACTGAAGTCAGACTTACTCAGTTCACCACGAAGGAGAAGCCAAGAAGAGTGGTTTGAACAGCTCTGTGCTCCGAGCTCCTTTATATGGTTCCTCAGAGCAGGTCCAGGGTCTGAGCCACGCTTTGGGCATGCAGTCCTTCCTAGTTACAAAACAAACTTTCCTGCATTTGTCACGTCAACGGGTGGAGGAATCTTTGTATATTGTTTGCTGTTAAGCAATTATTAGTTAAATGGTATCGCATCCATGTTGCAGCCTATGGAAATCTTTCATCTCGAAATAGGGAGAGTATTCACCCTTCAGTTTTTCCTCCTCATTGCAGAAATTAACTTCCTTCTTCCACCTGCCCAAGCTTGAAAGCACATAACTCAGGTCAGTAAAACAGAGGATTGCTGATTTGACAAAACTGACTTTGGTTTTTAAATAGTGACTGATTTTGTCATGCTAGGTGTAAAAGTTTTCAAAACTTTCAGTTGCAAAGGAACATGAACCTTGGAGACCTTTATGCCAACCTTGGCAAGTCACTATTCTGCTGTCTTTTATCCCAGCTCTCTTTTTCCTCAATAGGTGAAAAAAAAAAGCTGTAGACTGCAGTCCTCAGGTGCTTCAGTTATGGTGATAGATAGTCCTGTTCACAGCTACAGAGAAGCTGTTCTGTCTATAAGGTCCTTTCTGATGTTAATAGTTTGTAAGGTTTCTTTATCCTACCCCATGTTGGATGAGGCTTGGAGCAACCTGGTCTAGTGGAAGTTGTCCCTGTCCATGGCAGGGGGGTTGGAACTAGATGATCTTTAAGGTCCCTTCCAACCCAAACCATTCTATGATTGTACGATTTTGCATGGGTGGTGGAGCAAGAGGAAACAGGACTTACATGCTGGAGAAGTCTTCTTATCCCACTTAATTCCTGGTGAATATTATTATATATTGCCCTAGTTAAAAAGAAAATTTAAAAGAGCAAGGAAAACTTTGCTTAGAAATGCTGGGAAGGAACGTGTCGTGCACAAGTTACTCCAAATAACACCTCCTTTGTTTTGAAATATCATGTTGTGCCCTTTCAGACAGTGGAACCTGGTCTAGCCAAATATGGGAGACTGTAATAAGTAAATTTAAAACTGGAAAGTGCTACCTGGCTCCTCACCTGATGTAACAGACCATAGATCAAAGTGAGTGGTCACATGCTGGGATCCCCCTGCTCTTTGTTTAAATTTGATGATCTTACAGGATTTATATATCAAAAACATTGCTTACAGGATTTAGTAATTGGAGAGCTGAATTAGATTACACATGATGACTCCCTCATGACAGCAAAACTCCTTTATGGAACCATGTCTCTGCCCTACTGGAAGTTGTAACCTGCACTCCTGTGGATTTATCAGGCAGGATGGATATGCTCTATTTCCTTTGCTATTTATTATAAAAAGAGACATTACCCTGGTCTTGCTCCTGAACCTGCTAGGAAAACTACAACACGGAAAACTGAAAATAACATCAAGTCTAGACCCAAGGCAAGGTAAAGATGTCCCAGTTAAGGTACAGGAGGTCTGGAGCAGATTTCCAGTGTAACCTTTGCCAAGAATTTGGGGAGACGTTTTTAGACGCCCTTGTTATCCTGTGGGCATTGAGATGAGCACAACCCGCCCTCTGCACTTGCTGCAGGAGGCTTTCTCCAGTGGGGATAGTAAACCTTCCTTTCACCATAACTAAAACTAGTTGGTTTTGTTTATTGGTTCCTGACAGCAGTGACTGTCTGAGCTCTCCATTTTCGTGGTATCTGGGCGCCAACCTCGTTTACATAAGCTAAGAGATAATAGAATTATAATTATAAATAATAGCACTAACAAGACATGCCCGAGATCTCCTCCCAGAGGCTCGCTTAATTCCCAAGAGATGTTTGGTAAATTATTTTATTTGGCCTCTGTCTTAATCATCTCTTCCAAAAATCATCTAGTAATTTCCCGTTTCACGTGGGTGTTACTCAGGCTTACACGGAGCCATATTCTACCTGCTGGGAAAAATGCTTAAGATAGCAGAAAACTGCAAAACATAAAGGTTAACTTGGAGGCAGAAGAAATCAGATGAAAATTTGGCTGTGCTATGAACCCAAAGTATGCAGTGATCCACGAGATCGCTTTCAATGAAGTGAGTTTCATGGGCAAGACCCCAAACGCAAAGGTTCTGTCAGACCTTGAAGGCAGCGGCAGGGAGACCTCACACTGGACTTTGAGTGTTGCAACACACTTGCCTTGGTCCTGTGAAATACCTCTGGAATTAATTCCTTAAAAAGCCAGATGGATGATAGTCAAGGCTGCTGATGCAACATTAATGGTCACCTGGGCTAGGGTGTGGAAGAAGAAGGACGGTGGAAGATGGGATGGTGAGGGATGCCCATAATCTGGGCATCTGCAATCTTTTTCTTTCTGTGTTTACAAGGTGGACCCTACCCTATGGAAATGACTGAGAAAAGTGACTGTCAGCAAGTCTTTACGATGCACACTGTATAATAGATATCGATGCTGCCGTGACACTTGAAGGTCTGAGAAGCACATAGGGCCAAGTCACAGTTCCTGCTGCCGGGGTGAGCACAGTGGAGTGGCAGAGCAGTGGGGTATGGGAAAAAAAGTTGCATTTTCTCATTTCTAGGACATGCCTTGTGGGCTCAGCATCTTTAGGAAAAGCAGAAGTCTCCTGAGGTAGGAGTGACCAGTCTCCCTTCTAAAAGAAAAGCAGCACATTATCTTCTTTTCTTCATCCTCATCCAGTATTAGTCTTCCTCTTCAGAGTCTGGAAATGCTCTCAGTTCATGAAGCCCTTTTTAACTCCTTCTCTGGGAATCACATTTGCTTTGTGATCACCCCAGTTTAGCTGCTGTCCATTTTAATACTCTCATCCTTATTTCTCAGTCTTTTCTTTCTGTATCTCAAAAGAATGCAAAATCCTTGTTTTTTCAGTGCTTTATACACAACTACTCATTTTCACAACACCCAGATGAATTGGGTAATTTTTACTGTTGATTTTTTCATGGGATTATTGAAAGTCCAAGGCTAAATAATGCGCTTAGCCACACTTGTTGGTGCAGTGGGAGAGCTGGGAGGAGCACTTCACACCACATCTTCATTCTTTTATCTCCTGCACTGTGACACTGAGTCAAGACCCATTGTTTGGAGACCTGTAAGAAACAAAAGAGGAGATTGTTCATCTCCAAGGCACTGACAACCTAAATACACATCTCCAAGACATAATGGGAAGAAAAAGTACTGCCTACACAACACACAAAAACTCATTTACAGGAAATCTAGGCTGTGCAACCAGTACCATGAAACATAACTGACACAGACTTTCCAGCATGTCTCAGTCCAGAAAAATAATAGGACAGGGACATGGTGGCTAACACAGGTTGCTGAGATTTACTCATATTATTTCTGCATTTCTGTTTCCAAATATGGTAAGCAATACATGTTGATGTATGAAATCTTTAGGAGTATTAAAAGGTATTTCCCAAGTCTTTCTCACCTACATTTCTAAACACAATTCTAAACCTGTGGCAGCTGGCCCCTGAATGTGTTCCTTCACTGTCACTAGTTTGAGTAAATGAGGGCTCCCCTTTGCAAATGCACCTGCACTGTCGCCCCTGACACATCCTCTTCCCGCTCTGTGTGTTTCAGGCTAACTTCCAGCCAGAAAGATGTCTTCCTACAGGCAGACCTGCAACTACAGCAGTCTCTCACCCTGTGAGGTGACCTGCCCAGAGCCATACGTGAATGCCTGGAACCAGCCCTGCGTCACATCCTGTGGGGACTCCCGTGCTGTGGTCTACTCACCACCCGTGGTCATCAACTTCCCAGGCCCCATCCTCAGCTCCTGCCCTCAGGAGAGCTTTGTGGGCAGCTCAGCCCCACTGGAGACAAGCAGCTCCTTTGGCTATGGGAGCTCCTGGGATGCCCAGGGCTCCTTGGGGTCTGGTTCCTTCCTAGGTGGCAGGTACTCCTACCCCTGCTATTCCCACAGCTGCGGGATATACTGCCCTTCTAAGCCTTGCAAGGTGGCAAGACCTAGCCGTAACTAGAGCAAATTCACAACCTGTGAGTGAGCAGAGGTTCAAGGCTTTCAGAAAGCCAGTGAGAGTCCTCAGGAGCCAGGCACACACAGCCATCCTGAGAAACAAGCCTGGATACTGAATTTCCCTTTTGTACTAGATCTCTGCTCATGATGTTCCATCTCTGTGCCTCAACCCATTTTTGCTTTACTGTTGTGTAAATCTAACTTAATATTTTTCCCTGCAGTACTGCTGTGGTCTGATAAATCCCATTTGTCAGTTCCAGTAAAATTCTTTCCGCATCCCATTGTCATGTTTTCTGCTTTTATTTGTGTGGTTTCTAAAACTATAGCCCACTGATAGTAAAATAATCTTTCATCACTAGTGTCTTGTATTATTTAAGGTGTTAAAAGGAAATCCCAGACCTTGATATAGATCCTAAATATTTCATAGCCACATAGTTACACAAGTACTATGTTTTTGCTGTGTTTGATAGCCTTGGGATCCAAAAGAAAATCTGATGCAGGCACATACATGGTGAACATTACCTCAGCCCCTTATTTTCCGTGTTCTGATGATGAGAATGCAATTGTCCCTGTGAGCATGGTGAGCCTCAATAAGTCACAAGTGAAGCATTTATGGAGTTCTTCCTTAGCCCTTCTGGAAAAAATTATGTCCAAGCCACCATACCGTTTCTCCCACCACATCCCAGGACACATGAAAGGAAAGTAAATGAGGGTCAGGCACAGTTGTTAAAAAATTAGGGGCAAGTGGAGCCTGGAAGGCATGAGCACACTTAGGAGTCAGTGTAGAGCAAAAGGATCTCTGTTCACTCCTTGCCACAACAAGCTCACAGAGGTATTTTCCCCTGATGAGAGAAACAAAAGCATCCTGAGACAGTAATCCTGAAGAGGAATTCTTCCTCTCCTGAAGTGACAGTCAACATCTCTGATGATCTCACTTGTGCAGTCTTGCTATGTTTTCCACATGCTGAAGTTCGTGAACTCCTGGAATAACCAGGCTTAACTAACCACATTGCTGCCATGCTTATCAGCCAAGAAAAAAAGTGGGCTCCCGCCTTGTTTTAAGGGGTCAGCACACAATACGGCCTTGCAGATCCAAGACAGCAATGCCAAGCGTAGCACACTGCTCAGACTATGGATACAGTGGTAGAATTCCAGCATCTTCTGAAACTTCCCAAACAGAGTTTGTCAGATCTGTAAACCATGGGTGATGTTTGTCCACCTCCTAAAAGTCCTGGAGAACATAGGTCGAAGCACAACCAGGTCCCTGTCCTGGGACATACAGGACTTTGTGATAGGTAGCAAAACGTAGGTAAGTGGGATGAAAGACTGACTGCCTTGGACACCAGTCATGTAGCGAATCCCACTGGGAAATGCTCTGAGCACAATCTTGATGGGACCTCACCCTGCACAAAGGCGGATGCCGGGCGGGTGCAGGTGTGGCTTCCCCTGGCCGGAGACTACCAGGTTAGGAATGCAGCTCTTGCTTTAAAAGACAGCATTTTCACAACACCCCTGCGGTCTAGGTGGTTGTTACAGGAAAGGCAATTGAGACATCGGGGCAAAGTCTCGCATCAGTTTCTGATTCAGAGGAAAAGCTGGGAAGGAAAATACAGGTGTGCCTATTCCTGACATCCTTACAGTCAGAATTTGTGTGGGTTTTACTTTCAGCAGTAGGTCCTGCCCTCCCAGGCCAGAGGAAAGGCAGAAAGCCTGTCTCCATCCAGAAGAAACAAAATAAACATGGAAGGAAATAAAGTGAGTCATACAAATTTACAGAAGGGTCACAAAGTACAAGGAGAAGCTAATGATGCAGCCAAGCATTGCATGGACCAAGCCTCAATCATGGGAGATGATCTGTCACCATTAAGTCCACACAGATTATTTAGGAGAGCAAGAAATTTTTCAGGATGAAGCCAGAAGTAAGAAAAGAGGAAAGCAAACCATCCAAAACCCCAACACTGTGCCTCCTTCACATTCCTGCCTTGTGCTACATCTGGTTCTGTTTTGTTCTTCACCATATGTTTTTCTACACTGCATGTCCTTCAAATAGCTTGATGAAAAATAAACAGAGAACATGGAGTATTTGTGCAGGGATAACTATTTTTCTCCTGTCAGTCCATAAACCCACAGCTCAGTAGAGGGCAGGAACAGGACTGCAGACACCGGCTCCCTGCTTGGATTTACTCAGTGCAGCTGAACCACTCTGACACTTTGAAGATGTAAATAGTATTTCCTGCTGTGTAATCCTTAGCCACCTTACCATGAAACCTCTGGAGAAATAGTGCTTAGATGCACATTTTTATACAGTTTTCCTTGTTCATCTCTCAGCTAAAAATCTGCAAGCATAGCTGTTATAGGTCTATGGGTCAGACAGGTCCCAGTGCCTCCCCACCCTCCCCGGGAAGAACTTCTTCCTGATATCTAATCTAAACCTCCCCACTTTCAATTTAAACCTGTTACCCCTTGTCCTGTCACTACAGGCCCTTGTAAAGAGTCCCCCCCCACTTCCTTATAGGCTGCCCCCGGGTACTGGAAGGTGCTATAA